AACAACAACAACAAAAACATATTAGTAACTGCAGTTATAATAAGATTTAAATAGGTCTCAGGATCTGTTTTCCTCATACTCCTGAGAACCCCTTGAAAGATAAGTATGCAGAAAATGTCTGTAATCCCAGAATTTAGGAGGCTGATGGAGGAGCATCTCCAGTGCTGATGGACAGGCTGGGCTACCCAGCAAGATCTTGCTTAAGAAATAAAAAACCACATCCTGGTATAGGCCCAAGATCAAATCTCTCAAGTCAAATCTCTTAGCTGGACTTGACCCCAACACCCATTATTATTATTATCAATTTTTTTGGTATTTTCACCTATACTCACTAAATGAGAGCAATTGTATATACAGACAAATGACTTCTAAACAACGTGAAAGGAAAGAGAAGAAAACGTACACATATCAGAAATAAAAAGAAAGATATTCCAAAGTCTACAGTGAGTTTATGCTTGTGGCTAACATTTCCATTCATCTTCACTTTTAGATACACACTGAAGAAGGCAGATCACGACAGAAGAAACAAAGAGCTGTGACTATCACATGGAAGAAAAGAAAGCAAAGACTCTCATACCTCCCTCTGCTGAATGGCTACGATGTCTACGCTTCTCTTTTCTCTTCTCATCTTTTCTGTGGTGGGCTTTTTCTTTCCGAGACATTTGCTGGGGTGGTTTAATGGCCAGAGAATCATCTTCCTCTCCTCTGAAACAGATGAGAGACACACCAGGATGGCAGGTGCAGAGAACCAGGGTATACCCAAAGAAAAGAAATATTCCCAACAGAATAAAGTCAACTCCAACCGTCATTTAAGGAAATCTGAAATTGAAGCTATTATAAGATTTAGAAGAAAAATATAAGAAATCAACCTTGTCTGTAGAACAAAATTGTCTGTCTTTAAGGAAGGGGATGTCCATTTGTTCATTTTCTTGATTGTGGTAATGGTTTCATGGCCAAGTAAGAACGTGTGAGATCACACATTATCTGTAATTCATTTAGTCATTTATACTTCAGTTAAGACTGCTAAAAGTCCTGTAATTTTATCAACATTATCAAAGCCAAAAGTTCATTTAACAGTACCTTCAACTAATTTTATAAAACCAAGACCCTGAAAAATTTACTCTGAGCTGCTCAAAAAAAAAAAAAAAAAAAAA